CTAATTTTTGTATTTTTAGTAGAGACAGGGTTTTACCATGTTGGCCAGGATGGTCTCGATCTCTTGACCTTGTGATCCACCCACCTTGGCCTCCCAAAGTTCTGGGATTACATTACTCTTTTTTTGTTTATTTGTTTTGTTTTGAGACAGAGCCTTGCTGTGTTACCCAGGCTGGAGTGCAGTGGCGCGATCTCAGCTCACTGTATCCTCCACCTCCTTGGTTCAAGTGATTCTTGTGTCTCAGCCTCCTAAGTAGCTGGGATCACAGGGTGCGCCACCACGCCCAGCTAATTGTTGTATTTTTAGTAGAAATGGGTTTTCACCATGTTTGGCCAGGCTGGTCTCTAACCTGACCTCAGGTGATCCACCCACCTCTGGCTCCCAAAATGCTGGGATTACAGGCATGAGCCACAAAGCCCAGCCTAGGATTGTTTTTTTCTAGTTCTGTAAAGAATGATGGTAGTATTTTGATGGGAATTGCATTGAATTGTAGACTGCAGAGCCCATATTTTTGTTACCATACCACACATTCTCCCTCATGAATCCACTATTTACAGATGGAGAGATGACTGTCATCCATCAATCAATGAGTTGGAAGGTATTATCTGGCCCAATCTTTAAAAATTTTTAAAAATTTATTTCATTTTTTCTTTTTTTCAACCTTAAACTATTAAAGGAATAGCTCAATCTTAAAAATATATATCTGTGCATGTGTATTTTTATTTTAGAGATTAAAAAAAAAACTGAGGCTCAGCGTGAAGATATTTGTCTAAGGTTATAATTTTCTGAGCAGCAAATGCAAGAACATGGTGATATCCTTAAAGCATTTGTCAAAGTATCCACCATTCATAGCAATGACTAGCAATTCCCTCCCTGACTCACACGAACATTAAAATGGCAACTTTCAGCTGGGCGCTTTTAATCCAGCACTTTGGGAGGCTGAGGCAGTTGGATCATCTGAGGTCAGGAGTTGAAGACCAGCCTGGCCAACATGTTGAAACCCCATGTCCATTAAAAATACAGAAAAAAAAAATTAATTGGGTGTGGTGGTGGGTGCTTGTAATCCCAGCTACTTGAGAGGCTGAGGCAGAATCACTTGAACCTGGGAAGCAGAGGTTGCAGTGAGCTGAGACTGTGCCACTGCACTCCAGACTGGGCAACAAGAGTGAAACTCCATCTCAAAAAAATAAATAAAATAAAACAAAATAAAATGGCAGCTTTCCTAATGAGGAGACTCTTTTTTTGAAGAGGGCTTGGTGGCATGTTTTCAGTATTTTCCTGGTATCTCTTCAGGTACCCTCTCAGGTCTTCCTCTGGAGGTATATTAACTTCCTTTCCACCTTTAAAAACAGCCATACACAGATTAGGGCAGTTTTATCTTCTAGTGTCATATAATTGGGTTGCTTTTTATCTTCTAGTGTCACATAATTGGGTTGCTTTTCCTGTTTTTGATTTTTTTAGACAGAGTCTTGCTCTGTCATCCAGGCTAGAGTGCAATGGCATGATCTCAGCTCATTGCAACCTCCGCCTCCTGGGTTCAAGCAATTCTCCTGTCTCAGCCTCCTAAGTAGCTGGGATCACAGGTCCTCACCATCATGCCTGACTAATTTTTTGTATTTTTAGTAGAGATGGGGTTTCACCATGTTGGCCAGGCTGGTCTTGAACTCCTGACCTCAGGTGATCTGCCTGCCTTGGCCTCCCCGAAAGTGCTGGGATTACAGGCAT